GTCAGTGCACGCCCAGGATCCGAACCCAGGCCGCCAGTAGCGGAGCGCACGCACTCAACCACTAAGCCACGGGGACGGCCCAATGAACTACCTATTCTTACTCAGTTTTTTATTCTGCTTATTAATACCTCCTTAATCTTGAAGACTTGAAAAATGCAGGTATATGTGTGTATATATACATTTATATATACATATATTCAATTCAATAATATATACAATTATTATACATATATTCATATATACTGTATGGTTTGAGTCATATTATGTAGAAGTACATATATTTTTAAGTCCTGCCACATTTATAGTTTTAATATTTTACCACGTTGTTAAAAATTCTTTAAACACGTTTTTAATAGAACAATCCACTGAATGTCTTGATTATTTCCTTCCTCAGGCTAGGCCCTCGAAATGAAATTCCTAGGTCAGAATATATGAAATTCTTTTAAACTCTTGATATAATGCCACATTGCTTTCCTAAAAGTTTGTATCAATTTATATTTCCAGTAGCAACCTATCCTTACTTGCTATTCCCAGTATAGTATTATTGGTCTCTAAACAGTATTGGTGGCTTTTGAAAGCCTAGTTACAGTAGCAAGGTAGAATCACATTAAAGCCCAGGAAATTGTTTTTACAAGAGCTTTAAATTCATAGGAATATTTTTCAGTCTTTCTTCATTAATTCCTGTTATTATTATACACACACACACACACACACGCATATCTATTATGTGTATACATAACTGTGAAGTATTAGGCAGGAATAGATACAGCTTCTGTTCTCTTGGAATTTAAACTATAAGGCTGACATGGATATGTATAAACATGTAGAGAGTAAAATACATACATACTATTCACTTATTAAGATATATTTCAAGAAGCAAACAGTAAGGTAAAAGTTACGTATCAGGCTTCAAACTGACTCCCACATTGAGAAGAGTGCTCCTTCTTGATCCAAGTTAACCTGTCACCTCCAGAAAAAATAAACCTTTGCCTTATATTACTCTCTTCCCTTCTAAATTCAGTACATGAAAAACTTCTGATTGATAGGAGTGGAAATTCAGATTTGTTATCAATTCCCATGATCTGCCTAAAGCCAGCAGTTACCTCTTAGTGTTCCTTATCATCCCCCACCTGGAACCGTCTCAGTTTAAGATGCTGCCAATCAATGGATGATCTTTATTTTAAGTTGACTAGAAATAAAAAAAATAAAAGTTACCAGTCATACAGTTCCTTTTGTCCAATAGGTGGCAAGTTTACCTAATGCAAGAAAGAGATCCTTACTTGGTTTAAGGGTGTTGTACTTTGGAAATGGTATACAGGTTCTTTTTGGGGGGGGCGGGAATCATGGTGGTAGGGCTAGGGGAAAGGACCAGGAGAATAAATTAGTATTTAGAAGAAGAAAAAAAAAAAAAAAAAGTCATGGGCTATGCAATTGGAAGTTGCACTGATATGTTGGGCAAACTTTTGTAAAATGATATTGCATTCATTTTACCCCTGGAAAAAATTTTTTTCTCTAGATTATCAGCACAGTTCATTCAATTCAGATCATAAAAATTATACTTCGTTATTTTAAATTTGTAACTGCCAAATCTTTTTTGTGTTTATTTAGCAAATACTTATTGAGCACTTACTCTGTAGGAAGCATTGTTTTAGGCAAATTTTGTGTAGAAATAGATTTAGGGCAACATTTTGTTTCAAACGTTTTTTATATTACGAAATTTTGAAACCAGGGAAGAATTTTTTAATGAAGCCTCATCTGAGTCATTGTATTGGATTGATATCGTGTTATCAATAAATTTATAGTCACTGGCAATTTATCTCCCTCTTTTATTGTATTTCAATTTGTAGTTTATTTTTAATAAGTTTAATTTCTATCAAAAAGATTTTAAAAAGTAGATGATGATATAAATGAATACGTTTGTTTCCAAATGAACAAAATAGAAAAGAAAGGGTATATGAATTTCATGACTAGCAAATTGGGGAAGGAGAATCTAATCTCCCAGAGGTTGGCATGTTGTTTACTAATAAATACCTGTTTAGTGTGCTCTTTTAACACTTCTGTAGTGGGGAAAGGACGAAGTCGGTCTGTGAAAGTAGTTGGAAGCTCCTTACTTTCCAAGTAAAGCTTTTAGAATATTTTGTAGGTATGACTTTTTTTGTTGTTATTCCTGTTTTAAAGTGCAGCTCTTTCAAGAGAACGAGTTACATGTTGCATAAGCCTTGAAACGGCCAAAACAAGTAAAATAGCCACCTTTATTTACAGCTGCGGGACTAGGTATTAGATCTCTTCCAGGAAGAAAATTTGATTAATGGCTCTTTTCCAGAGAGGGGACAACTGCAGACTTTTCTTTCGCAGAGCGTGAAATGTGCCTCTTCCTGCCGCGGGGCCTCGTCCTAGCCGCAGCTCCCAGGGCGATTCCCAGCCTCAGGTGTCTCTCTCGCCGCGGCCGCTCTCCGGGGCGGGCGTCCGGGACTTCCTGTCTGGGCGCGGGGCGGAAGGATCGCGTTGCCAGCCGAGGCGGCCGCCGCCGCCGCCGCCGCCCCTGCCGTTAGGTGGTGGGGTTTCTCAGCCCGGCGGCGGGAGGCGGGCCGGCCTCGGCTTCCTGTCGGAGGACGCGCAAGGATCCGGGCGTCTGAGTGTGTACGAGTGCGTGAGTGTGTGTCGGTCGCACGGTGTGTGTCTCCGGCCGCGGGTTCCGCCTCCTCCCCTGCCGCCGCTGCTCACGGTGTAAGTCAATGTGAAGCAGCAGCTCCAGCCCCGGGATAAACATGGCGACGTCTCTGCATGAGGGACCCACGAACCAGCTGGATCTGCTCATCCGGGCTGGTAAGGACAGGGGAACTTTTCTCCGGTGCATCGGTGCAGCAGGAGAGGGGGTGCACGGAAGGCGGGGTGACTCCCCTGTAGCGGTCAGTGCAGGGGGTACCGTGTCCACCTCAGTCACTGGGGCGGCCGGGGGAGAGGGGGGTAGTGAATGAAGTAATGGAGGCGACGAATCAGGAAGTGATCACCTTGGAGAGTAACCTGCCTCGAATCCGGCGCTGTCGCTTCAGGGAGGGTTTGGCGAGCAGCGGCGGCAGCTGCCGGGCGCAGTGCTGGCAGCGGGCGCCGGGGAACCGAGCCGCGGTGAAGTTGGGGACTCGGGGGCGGACGAGTTGTGCGCTTCACCCCAGTTGCTGAGGAACCAGGAAGTGAGTGAGGCTGTTGTCTCTCGGCTGCGCCTGCCACGCTGTCTGGCCCGAGAGGCCGCTGCTGCCCGCCGTCGGGGGCGGCGGGCTTCTCCGGGAGCGCTCGCCACCCCCGCCCTGCTTCTTTCAGGCCGGGTCCACGAATCCGTGACTTCCGCATGGACGAGGCGGCCCCGGCCCATGTCCGGTAGACCGATACCCGCCAAAAAAATGCTCTGAGCCTCCTCTCACATCCCCACCTTGTGCGGTCTCCGGAGTAACGGTTCTGGAAAGGGTCACTTAATGTGGAGTGGCCCGGGATGGTGTTTCTCTCGGGGGCCCGCCTCCCTTGCCTCATTTAATGGGTGGCTGCGAAGAAGTAGGCTTATGCCCCTTCCCTCGTGGATTGTTTTTTTATGGGGAAGAATGGGAAGGACACAGGCTATATTTTGTTCCCCTGACCTGGAGCGTTGGGGCGTCAGAGAAGAACGTTTATTTCTGTAAACAGTGGGTGAGTGTGAAGGAGTGGGGCGGGCAGGAGGGAGTCTTGGCCCTAGGGAAGTCTCAGCACGGAATTGCCCCCTTTTCCCCTCCCCCCCAAACCTCCCACCATAGCGGAAGCGCCTCGGAGAGGACAGAACGGACAGGATTGACAGGCCTCTGGTTCCAATCTGCTCTCTGAGATGTTCCAAATAAGAACGTTGATTTCTGGGGGCGGGACTCAGGGCCCGCGCTGGGCCAATGAAGATTGGGCGGGAGTGAAGCTGACAATGTACGCATGGAATTGGAGGGAAGAGGAGTGTAAACACGGAAGTGGCCGCGGGGGTGGGGGATGTGCAGCGCCACTGCTGCAGCGGAAGGGCACGGACTTAAGTTACATAGAAAAAGCAGCTTTACTTAATAGCACACAGAGCAGTGAGGGCCGTGAGTCGATGTAGCAGTGCTTGAGTACTATTCACCTACTGTGCTAATGAGCATACATGTTCCTTTCGCCGGGTTCTATTTCATATCGCCATCGATGGGAATTGGAAGATGGGGAATCTTCACCAAAGAATAATGCTGTAAAAGATCTTACCTTCTGTTTGTATCCATTGTTTTTAGGTAGAGAGCGTGAAATTAGTAGTTTGGTTGGTGAAACTGTGATTCAGTTCGATTGGGGGAAATCACGAACACGTGTATCTCTAAATTTAACAGAAGAACTTTAAGTTCAAATGAAATCTGGAATAATGGAACTGTATGTATTGTATAACACATAATGAGTGGCCAGCCTTTTATTCTGTGAAATGTAACACTACACGTTTCAGAGGTCCCAAAGAAAAATCACAGTTTACTGAGTAGTGATTAAAACACATTTGACAGTTATTTTCTGATCAGAGCAAGAAGTTAAGTATTAGTGAATAAGAGGCAGAGCATGAGGAGAGAACTTGGTTCCTTTGTGTATGTTCAGTCCATTAATAACATAGTATAATTGAGGGATGGAGTTTTTGGCCTTATATTATTAGTACTAGCAATTCTTATAAATTGTTTGGGTCGGTGATGTTTCTGTGAGTGTTAAACATGTACATTTCAAGAAATGTTTCCAGTGGTTGTGAACATACGGAGAGAACCTTAGAATAACCCCTGAAAATTAGAATTTTGAAAAATATTGTAAAGGTAAGAGGGCTTAATTTTGCCAATAAAAGATATTTTTTCATAAGCCTTTGGAATTATCAGCGAAACTGAATGTGACCTGTCGATATTTTGCTTGGAGTGGATACATACAGTCTAAAGTTCGAAAATACCAAGTTTTATCTCCCTGTGATGAGGGTTTTAAGTTAAATGCCATTTTCCAGCCCCACTGCATTTCTTTAGTATACACAGACCTTACAGTTTCCTTTATGATTATAATGTTCTGTAAAGAATACGTTTTACATATAATTGTTTTCAAATTATTTCTTCAATCATGTCCATGTAATCTGAAGCTCCTTTACAAGCCCTATTTTAGAAGGAAACTTGAGACAGGTTTGCAGATTTACCCAAGGTTTATTCAGTGAGTTAAAAGTTGGGGAGGAAAGGTGGCCTGGAAAATTAAGAATCATGCATCTAAATTTTTATTGCTGACAATTTCCAATGGTCTTGGGAGAGTAATGTTTGTAAAGTTTGTATTTGCAAACTGGACAGAATGATACCTTTTTATTCCCTTGAGGGAAGTCATCAAGTGTTAGACATATTTCTTCCTCACAAAGATTTTACAGTCTAATTGAGACAGATGAAAGTCTATATAATACATAAATGTTAATGTAACTGCAGTGATTGCTGTAATGGGTTGATGATTAGTGTAGAATGATATTAAGGAAAACTAGAAGAGATAGCTTTAAGTTGAATATTGTTAGCATAGCTGTTCTTTCTAAGTAAGTATAAAGGACTTAATATTACCACTACTATTGTTATATGTTAAGGTACTAGAAGATATAGTTTTGCTTTTATTTTTCTCCTTTAGAGGCTTAACTATCAACCTCAGCTTTAGTTATCAACATTTATGCTGTCAGAGAAGTTTGAGTAAAGAATGAAATAAATAAGCTTATTTGTTAAAAATCACTTTAATTTTAACATACAAAATATTTTTGTGGTAAAGACGACATAATTTATGAAACTTTCATTGGCAACATGATGTATGAGGAAGAGTCTTGACCTTGAAGTCAGGAGATGAGGATATACATCTAGCTGTCACTAAACTAGCTCTGTCCTAGTGACTTAACTTCTTTAAGGCTTCATTTTCTGTAAGAGAACAGGATTGACTAGGTGATCTCTAATAAATTCTAATTATTAAAGTTATAAGTGGCTCAAGTATTTAATGGAAAGCAAAGGCTTCTCTTTTTCTTAGAGTTCTTTACATTACACCATGTGAGTGAATGTGTCTGTAAGGTCATTACGTAATTGTGAGGTTAATTTCTTTCAGCCAATCTGTGCGCCAGATTGGAACTTGAGGCCATATCTATATGTTGAGTAAGACTATGATACAGATTATTTAATAATTTAGGCTAATTTCATATGTGTCTGTGTATATAGCTTATTATAGGAAAAATGAATCTCTAGTCTAGAGGGAAAACAATGTTAATATTTATGTGAAAGTATTGTGTAAATATGGTCTGGATTTTCTGGAAGATTTTCTATTTAAAATATTCTGTCTTCTTATTCTCTGGTATAGTTTCCTTGACTTTTTTCTTTCTTTTGAGAAATTGGAGAATTTGAGAATTGAGAAATAGGGTCACCAGAAGTTTTGTTCTACTTTAATGCAGTTATTAAATGGGAGGGAGAAAATTTTATTGGAAATTTAGCTTAAGTATTTTCACTGACAGAACAAATCTGTCTAGTTTGTCAAAGTTCATTGTGAAATTTGAAGTTGAAAATCTTGTTTCTAATTTACTGTAAATTGGAATATCTAGTATTGATCTTGAAAAGATCATCAGTTTGAAAAAAATTTAGCAGAATGAAGAAAATGAAGCGTGTGTTAAAACTGGAAGAGTTGGCATTAATTTTTTAAAAAATTTATATGAAAATGTGTTTAAGAAATTACCCTTAAGAATTCATTGCAGCATTAGTACTAAAATTCGTATAAAAACTGAGTTGAAGAGTAACATCAGTGTGTAAATAGTCAATCAGGATAATTCAACATAAAACAATTTCCTTTAGAAACAAATTTGGTTGGTGGAGAGGGGCAGGCTGGAGAGTGTTCTTGATAATTATTTAAACTCCTTGTGTTATCTATAGCTTAAATGTTCAAAGAGATGCAAAGAAATATTTATGAAAAGCTTTTTAAAAAGTCCTTCATGTGTAAGTCGACAAAATATTGTACTTATGGAAATGGAATCATAATTTTTCATCTACACACTGATGTTTATATTTAGAAACATCAGGATAGAATTTGAGTGTTATTAATTACATTTGATAATAAATTACAGCTGCAGTTCTCAAAAACTAAAATCTCTGATCTGGGGATTCTGGGAGTCCCAAGACTCTTTCAGGGAGTCTGTGAAGTCAAAATTGTTTTCATAATAATACTAAGACATTATTTGCCTTTTCACTTTCACAAGTGTTCGGAGGAGTTTTCTAGAGGTTACATGCCTTGATATTTCCACAGATTGAATGAAGAAGCAAATATGAGAATCTAACTGTTTTCTACCATGTTTTAAAAAGATTTGAAAAAATGTAAAACAAAGCTACTCACTAAATTTTTGTTTTTGAAGTTATTTTTCATAAAAATATTACTTATGTTTACAAGTATTGGGTTTATTATTTTAAATGAATTACTAATAAATATTTTTGTTTTCTTAGTTTTAATTTCAAATATGATAAATATCTATACATAAGACTTATATAAACAAAATCTCTTTGCAGTCCTGAGTAATTTGAAAGTAAAAGGGTCCTTTGATCAAAAAAGTTTGAGAATAGCTGAATTAGAGTTTTATTTTGTCTACACTTTTCAGTACTGTAGCCACTAGACACTTGTGGCTACTGAGTACTTGAAATGTGACTGAGAAACTTTAAATTTTACTAATTTAAACGTAAAAACTGAAGCAGTGGAAAACTTCTTTACAGTGATTATATGTTGAAATGACAATATTTTGGATATGCTGGGTTAAATGAAAGGTATTAATTTCACCTTCTGCTTTTTTTAATGTGGCTACTGGAAATTTAAAAATTATTATGTGGCTAACATTATATTTTAATGAGACAGCTGTATTTTAGAAAATAATTTTATTCTCTTTCTCTTTTAAACCTTATAACAGAACTATATTGATTAGAAAGTCAGAGGGGAACAGGTAAAGATGGAGTGTCTCAGACCTTTACTTTTCCCCCCCTTTTATTGCATTCATTTATATTCTTCACTCATCTATTACTGTTAGAGCCTAGGGGCATTAGGATAAGCTGTGGTAAGTCAGGTGTGGTAGTTGAGTGATGACCTTGTAATATTAGTTTGTGGTCTTGCTTGTAGGGAAATACCACTATCACCTAATGAAGTGTTTTCTAATTTTTTCCATTGCTCTCAAATTAAATTGCTATTAATTTTTATTTTTGACTTTAAGAACCTTGTTATGAACTAGATCCATTGCCAGCATTCTCTTCTGCAAAGCTGAGAGGTATGTCTCTTGTCAGACTTAATTACCAAGTTTGGTATTTAGTAACAGCTGTTGAGTGAGTCTGGAATAGTCTACCATACAAATACCAGTTGATTAGAAAGCTAGAAATGGAACAAGAAGACTCTTACCAGTAGTAAGGAGGGCATAAGTAAATTTAATTTTTGGCACTAAAACTAAAATTAAACTAGCTTTGAAATGTATTTGATACATTTATTTCTTCAAGGAGTCTTGACCAGCAACACCAACTACTGGTGGTAACTAGAAAAGGATAGCTGTCAGCTTACTTTCAGCTTCATTGTTTCTATTTTTAAAATGAGTTACTTATATTTTTCCTCCCATAAATTTCATATGCAGGTCTAGAAAGACAGCAATAAATCTAGTTTAAGTAAGAGAGAAGGAATTTTCAGCCCTTGCTTGTTTTGTAGCTTGCTTACTTTGATTGCATAACACTGTTAAATTCACGTTTATCTTTAAAAATTGTGCAAACTTTTAGTTTCAATTATATTTGAATTACTGATCTGAACAAAATAGTATTAAAAAGTTTTCAAAAATTACAGAAAATTGAATAGAAATAATTCTTCAATTTCTGTTATAAAAACTACCTGTTGACTTATGTCAACAAAAGACAAGTCAGAAGAGATAGTGCTCACTTTTACAAAATGGGTGAAGTATTCTTGGAAACTGTCATGGGTACATTATTGTAAATTGATCTAAGTGTGAGCTCTTAGGTGTTCATTTTTTTAAAAATGTGCTTAGAGTTATTTTAGTTAGTAAATAAAACTGACAAAAAGTAAACTTTGTAAGCATGAAAAAAACAAATCAGTGCTCTCCTTCACAAGCTGTTAGCTTACAGAGTAACTTTAAATTATTTTGCACCTTTATTTAATTTTGAAATATTTTACTTCCATTTATGTTTTTGATATTCTCTGAACTATTAGTATAAGCTTCATGAGGCCAGAGATCTCTTTACACTTGTATCTCAGGTTATAGCACCGGGTCTGGCACATGGTAAATGCTCAACAACCACTTGTTGAGTCTAGACATAGTATTAGGTCTTCTGATTGATAATTCATAGAGAATTTATGCATTTTTGATATTCTCATCCTAAATTTAAGTATGAGTACATAAATTTTCTTCTTGAGTTTGTATTTTATTTGTTTTACTCTGTAAATGTAAAATATTTCTGGGAAATAATATGTTGAATTTGGGGGAAAAGAGGAGGTTGGGGTCAGAAATATGAACAAGAAAATACATTTTTAAGAAAGAATTTCCAGTGACATAACTAACATGAAATCATGATTTTGAAAATGTTCCTCAAACTACATAAGAACTCAAGGCAGCATAATATATAACCGTTAGGCAAATTTCATTTTGTTATAACTTAAAACATTTAAAAATCTGGTAGAATTCTACTGCTGTATTATTATCAAATACTTGAAGCCCTGATTTTAGTACAGTAGAGTTTTTAGGGTGTGTGTCTTAATACAATTACATAAGGAATTAGTTTACCCAGGATGGTTTATTAATAGCACCTAAGACAACAGCTAAATTGCAACACAGCAGACTTTAAAGAGAATGAAGTTCCTAGAATAAATTTTAAAAACCTGAGAATTTGCTTTCCAAGGTTCTTTAGTGTATGTGAGTATTGTACGGAGGTACTTTGAAAAAAATACTTGAGAATGGTAATATATTTTATACTTACTAAGTTTCTTAAAGTTGAACTAGAAGGACTGATTGAATCCTTTGCTTCAGTGAGGCTGCAGATAAGAGTAAGCAGGGTCACCTAAAGATAGATTTACTTAGAGGTTTGGCTGCCTCTCTGGAACCCGTTAGCTTTGAGCAGATTTCCATAAATGGAAAGAGCAACTGGAGACTCGGTACCTTGGTTGAGAGTGTGGATGATGTGCAACAGGTGGTAAAACAGTCACTGGATTTTTTGTAAATGCTCTCCAAATGACTAGTGTTTAAGCCTAAGGCTTTAGCATTTGGTGAATTTTGAGACTAAGTGAAATTTTTTTTTTCAATTAAAAGTTTCCTGGAAACAGTTTAAAAAGATTCATATCTTTAGTGTGTAGAACTTGTGAATTTGTAATATGATTTTATGAAATTTGTATAAATATTTCCTTTTAGTTCCTTTAGAGGACATTTTGAGAAAAATCTATCAAATTAGAAATTGTTCCATGTTCATGTTTCAGAACCTCTTACCAAGTAGAATATTCAGTATTTTAAGTCAGGATATGAAATTAATATATCCTTAAGATAATAAGTTTGTGCTTGAATTGCCAATTTTCCTGTAAGGTCAGTGGGTTGTCTTTAATTAACTTCATTACACAAAAGAAATACTTGCGTGCCTACTGTAGGAAAAGTCTATGTTAGGAACTATAACAGATACAAAGATCTGAGATTGAGATAGTCCCCCTGATCTCAAGGAGTTGATAATCTTACAGGAGTGTTAAGAAAGTATCACCGTTGATTGAATTCTTATCTGTATCCCAGGCATTTTGCATGTTTTTTATGGGAATCACCTCACTTAAATTCTCACAACTATATGAGGTGAGTAATACTCCTGTTTTGTGCAAGAAGAAACTGAGCCTTACAAGATATTAAATTGCTGGCCTAGGGTACCAGAAATTATAACTGGCAGAGACTAGAACCCAAGCTGTTGGACTTGGAATCCCAAACCACTGCTGTACACTTTACTGCTTTGCAAATAATTTAATCAGCGAAGCATAAAGTAAGTGCTAGAAGAGAGTTACAATAGGTGGTAGAATTAGAAAAGGCTTCATGGAAGGAAAAGAAAAAAAGAAACTCTGAAAAAAGATTTTGTGAGTAAACAAAGTCTAGTGAGGTCCTGAAGAAGACAGCAAGGTTATTGTGAAGAAAATTCCCAAGTGCTCTGGTGCTAAAGCTAATGCACTCAACCACAAGGGTCTCTAAGAATTGAACTGCTTCATTAAATTAACTTAGAAACATGTGTTTCTTACTGATTATGCTAGGTATTACCCCTGATTTTAGTAGCAGTATATCAAAATATATAATTGACCTCATAGGACTGTTAATCTACAACCATCCTTTTCCCTTCAAGTTAGTTTTGGCTTAAAATTGATAAGGGTTCAAATATCAAGGGTCTTTCTTTGTTTTCCTTTGGATACGATTCAGAAATTTCTCAGTAATTTCTGATCAATCTCAATAGTTACTTTATAATCAACATTCATTTTACAAAGTAGATCCAGTAAGATACTAGATTGTGTTGGTTTTTAAATTATTTTTGTAAGTAATTGATATAGACTAATGTGTATCAATGATTTATTTAGTTATTCAAATGAGAGGTAATTTATATTTATTTCTTATATAGTGATGTGTTTTAATTTAGTAATGTGTTCACTGCATTTTTAATTGAGTAGAATTTATTTTCCCTCTAGTGGAAGCATCAGTTCATAGCAGTAATGCACACTGTACAGATAAGACCATTGAAGCTGCTGAAGCCCTGCTTCATATGGAATCTCCTACCTGCTTGAGGGATTCAAGAAGTCCTGGTATGTGAACTGTTCTTTTTTATCTTAAACATGTCATCACATTCACTTCATGTATAGAATGAAAGTTTTTTTTTTTTTAAATACAAGGGAAATTGTTGGTGTTTTCAAGGTCTGTTGTACATGAATACCTGTGACAGCTGTAATTGATCTTTGTCAAAGTTCCCAAGTCTTAAATACTTCAAATACTTGATTTTCATAATAAATGATACAGAAAATGCTTATTAGAGCAATTAGAAACAGACCAATGTTTATTAAATTGCTATTTATACTATCATTTCTTATTTCCTTAACTCTGGGTAAATTACAAACTTTTGTAGTGCTTAAGAGCATGGCAAATGGGGGCAGTTGCCTCCTGTGACCACTTTCAATTTTGTATTCAGTAATAAATAGGCAGTAGCTCCAGGGAACCGTCCATGGTAGAGAGAGAAGGTAGCACCACCATTTCCTCTCACTCTCTCTGGCCTGCAAGTTTTCCTTGTCTTTTGGTCCTTTTCTTCTTTAAGACTGCCTTTGAGAGTCATTTCGTCCTTATTTTAATGTCCAAATGTTACTTCGACTTAATACAGTAAGATTGACCCTTCTTAAAGGGATTTACAATAAATATTAAGAGCAACCATACTTTTTAGTTAGAATAGGATTCCCATGTATTATTCAGGGATATGAGAAGAAAATTAGGGTGTATTGGTCAGTGTCTAATCCATGATAGATTTCTTAAATGTCTCTTAATTGAAATAGAAATGTCATATCCTGATTATTCATGCATTTTGGAAGGAAGCCGGAGCAACATTATTGTATGTAATAGAATACCAAATAGCAATCTGTATGGACTGTTTTAGTACCCAAGATATCAGGACTGTTCCATTAAATAAAATTTTAAATATTGAAAGATGATATTCATTGGGCTGTAATGAGCAGGTTTTCCTTTCCTTTATATTTTAAAATGAACTGTAAGTGCTTACTTTTCACTGAATACATGTTTATTAAATATTTTAAATTTTGTACCATGTGCATGTATTACCTAGTTAGAGAATAATGAAGGGTACGTGGAAGGAAAGTAATTATTAAAGAACTCACTCTTATACTATTGTTTTATTTTCAAATGTTTTCCCAATTGTCAAAATAATTCAAAGACTTCTGCAGTGAGCTTGAAAGTATCTAAAAGTGTGAAGAATGGGGAGTGACTACTCATGATCCCCTCCTTACCCAGAGGATTTCAAGTCAGTTTTCTTTGCATTTATTTCCTTACGTACTTTAGATCATATTGCGTATTTAGCAAATTAAGTTCAAGTTCTTATCCTGCTTTGATGAATTCTTAATAAACCTCACTTCTACTAAATATTGAATTGTCCACATTAAGAAGCAATAATGGGGGTGGGAGATTTTAATTTTTCAACTTTTTTTTATAGTGGAAGTGTTTGTCCCTCCTTGTGTATCAACTCCAGAATTTATCCATGCTGCTATGAGGCCAGATGTCATTACAGAAACTGTAGTGGAGGTGTCAACTGAAGAATCTGAACCAATGGATACCTCTCCTATTCCTACATCACCAGATAGCCATGAACCAATGAAAAAGAAAAAAGGTAGAGTATATTTATAAATTTCTGGAAAAGTGAGTGAAATTTTTTCTGGTATCTTTTTCCCCGTCAAGGGACATAAGAAATACATGCTATAGCTTCATGATTGATGTTATCTTAACTAGATATTCTCAAAGAATCAACAAATTGAGATTTTAATTTTGTGTTTTAACATGTTCATCCTGTTTAAAGGAGTTAGTATTTGAGCCCTATAAGTAGTTCCCTGAATATGAGATTATGACAGGTGTTGGACACACAGAAGGAAGAGGTTCATTGCACGTTTGTCTACTTTCTGTTACTTTTGGGTGCTTGGTTACTTTTTAAAAACAAACATTCTTTATTTTCTCTAGTTTTCACAGTCTTACCTTCCTACTCTTTTGTAGGCGTTAAAATAAAAAGCCCAATTTTCTCCCTACCTTCTGTTTTAAAACACTAAATTTGCCAATAGTGACTTCTAAGTGGAATAAATTTACCAGTGGGTAAAGAGCATTTCCACTTACTGTTTGACTCTTGCTGAAACCTCTGCTCACCTGATTCCAGTGGGTGAGGCACAAGGCTCCAGCATATCTCCAACATCCCGAGGAGATGGGCAAGTTCTTTTCCTGTTTGAATCAAAGGTAAAACTTGAAAGAAATGAAATCCTATGTAAATGTGTACTCATCTAATTCCACTTTCTTCCCTCTTGCTTCACATTTTAGAGTGGGAAAAAAATCAAAGGCAAAAATAAGGGAAAACTTGAGTTAGAAATAGTGGTATTTTCTTTCATTTATTAGACAGATGTGTGTCAAATTGTTGTGATGTTCGTGGGTCTGTACTTACTGCTGAGAAATACGATGAAGAATAAGAGTGCCTTCCCTCAAATAATACACATAGATTATATGTATCTTGAGAGAGGTATGAATGAGAGAATTGAGAAGGAACAATTACTTCTTGCTGTAAATGTTTAAAAACAAAAGGGTACATATAAATAGCCCTGTTTACCCACTGCCTGCGGTAGCCTTTGGCTGGTTGTATCTAGTGGGAGCTATTACAAAATACTTCAGAAATTTTTAGATTTAAAAGAAGATAGAAAAGACCATGAAAAGCTGGGATCATTTAGGGAACCAAGACCTCTAGATAAACAGGTTGCTGTGCCTGGGTAGTATGATATAAACCAGGAAATAATTAGCCAATTTAATACTAATTTTTTATATTTGAAAATAAATGGTCTTAATGAATGATCATCTAAAAAGTACATGTAACACTATTATTTATTTATTTGTGGTTAAGTACATTTGGGACATACAAAGGTAGGTTATTTTTTAATAGCAGAGCCGCCTTGTTATTTCCGGAGCTTTTAGTATACTAATATGTGTGTGAATCTCCAAGAGAAGATAGCATACAGTGTTCTAAAAGTTATTTTGATTGGAGAACCCTTTTTCCTACTGATGAATAACCTGTTTCTCAAGGAATATGATTTGGGAAATACTGTTTCATAAGAAAATAAATTCTTTTTGTGCTAACCTTTCCATTAAAGAAGTTGTGCTTTTGTGCTTGAATTTAGGAGATGGTACAGATGTTAGTTTTATTACTGACTGATATGTACATATACATATTATTTAAATTAAGAAATTAAGCTCTATTTTAACAAGGAGACCAGTGAACTTTCTATTTTAATTTTTGCCACAGCACATTTATTGATTAGAATTACCTGAATGAAAGCCTACAATATATGAGACTGACGCGCTGCCTACTGCGCTAAGGAGGCAGGTTGCCTACAATATAATAGCTATGCATTTTGAAATATAAATTAAAACACTTTAGCTCTTTATTTAGCTCTAAATAATCCTTGCTAATGAAGAGTAGAGTGACATCAGAAATCCCAGTTGTATGATAATCACCAAATCAGTATTAATATATTTAATCTGAAAATATAATATACATGAATATTCCCAACCTCTTTCTTGAGGCTTCCCCTCACCTGTCAGCATTCATCCATCAGAGCTGAGGATTGAATACAACTCATCTCAGACTTTGGCCTTCTTTAGTGTAGAGAAGTATAGTTCTTGCTTTTCTGTTCATTGTGGATGCTAGAGAGACTTACGGCAGAAGTGAGGAGAAGCAAAAGGAAGAGAACAAACATTTATTAGACGTAGGAAATAATTACTTGGAACTTTTTTTTTACCCTTACAATGTACCTGCATATTGAGGTGGGGAAATTTGAACACTTATGCTTGAATTCTGGTGAATTGATTGGCTCAGAGCAGTAGAGAGTGTTTAAAATAACATTTTTTACTTTTCCTCATTTGAGCTCAAAGGGCTTCGCAGATTATCAGATCTTCTGCAATAGGTAGGTAAAGCTTTTTCTAACAATCCTGTAGAACAGAAAACAAAAGAGTTTGTACTAGAATTTGTTTCCATTGCTACATTATTGGAAAAGGATAGCAAATTGAGGCTCTGACCATGTAAATAATAGGTTACTAGTACCTGACTTGCCATATACATTGAGATTACTACCAACTAACTGCTGTAATCTAAAATTGCAGAAGTGCTTTTAATGCCCCTTTTAAAAGCAACTTTTTATATACGTGGAGTATATTAGTCCACAAATTAGTGTCCAGTTTCACAAATAATATGTTATCAAAGAGTCTGCTAATCACGCTTCTATTATTTTTCCTGTTTTCAATGTATGGTTTCAATATCTTATTCTTTTCAGTTGGCCGTAAACCAAAGACCCAGCAATCACCAATTTCTAATGGGTCTCCTGAGTTAGGTATAAAGAAGAAACCCAGAGAAGGAAAAGGTAATTTGGGGAGGGCTGTTTTGGAGGTGAGATAATTTTTTTCCAGTCAGGTGACATTTTTGCATTTGTAAGAAAGTTATTTCTAGTACATGCACATGTGGGAGTACTGTCTTTGGTAGTAGTTCTTAGTCAGGGGTGCATCAGCATCACCTGGGAAGCTTTTTCAAACTATCCATACCTGGTCCCTAGCCCCCTAAGATTCTGTAGTCATGGATATACTATGGAGAGTGGAAGAGGGCAGGCGTTTGTTTGTATTTTTTGGAAAAGGTCCTAAGTGCAGTCTGATGCACACCCTTCTTAAGAGCCATTGTTCTAGGGGATGTGTTTATGTATAATAGCACTCCTCCTCACATAGAGCCACTTAGAATTGAAAGGGGTTTACTGGGGCCAGCCCAGTGGCATAGCGGTTAAGTGTGCGTGCTCCACTTTTGGCAGCCTGGGGTTTGCAGGTTCGGATCCTGGGTGCGCACCGATGCGCACCGCTTGTCAAGCCATGCTGTGGCGGCGTCCCATATAAAGTGGAGGAAGATGGGCACAGATGTTAGCTCAGGGCTAATCTTCCTCACAAAAAAAGGGGGGGTGGTTTACAGCTAAGGCTTATTTCTGATACATAATTTCTTAACTAATAGAAGCAATGCAATAATTCAAGGAAAGCTGAATTTAATTTCCTAGTCAACAAATTTCAGTCATGTCAGTAGGGAGTCAGAACAAAAAATTTAACATATTTCGGCTTTAGAATTTGTATATTCTCGTTAAAAAGAAAAATAGCAATAAGCCTCCCACATTCTGTGTTCTCTTAATTTGTTGGGTAAGTTGATTTCAAGTAATATTTTAATAATGGTTTTAGGTGTGTTCTGATAACTAAAAATTTATCACTTCGATGAATAAATGTTTTCAGACCAATATTCAATAGTTGGATACATTTTGGGTTAATATATTCAAATTTATTCCATTGTCAACAGATGGTCTGACATATCTAATTTTAAATAATTAAAGCAAAAATTAAGTTTCTATTTAAAAAAAATTAAGTCTCTAGTAAGCCTACCAATAAATTTAGTTAGACAAAAAAATCCAGTTACAGTGAACTCTCATTTATTCAGGAACTGATAATTCAGTTTGAAACGGATTTAGGATACTTTTATTTCCTTGTCTGTCTTTGGTCATTTTACATTTCTGACATCTTAGGTTTTATCTTCCAATTTATATTGAAAACTTTAAAACTAACATAATAGTAAATATTAGAAAGCTCAACTGTAAATATACAGTTATTACTGTTTTTGTGTGTGTGTGTGTGAGGAAGATCAGCCCTCAGTTAACATCTACGCCGCCAGTCCTCCTCTTTTTGCTGAGGAAAACTGGCCCTGGGCTAACATCTGTGCCTGTCTTGCTCCACTTTATATGGGACACCGCCACAGCATGGCCTGACAAGCGGTGCATCGGTATGCGCCTGGGATCCAAAACCCGGGCCGCCAGCAGCGGAGCACGAGCACTTAACCGCTGCGCCACCGGGGCAGCCCCGCTATTACTGTGTTTTACAAAATTATCATCAGTGGTATCTCTTGTACTCAAAGACCTTATGCTTAACATTGGAGAAAACTTTGTGATGACCTATTTTTACCGATCAAAATCACCTTGGATTAAAATTTCAGTCTTATGTTACTAAACTTCAGGCAACATGTAATGTGAAAATTAAAGTCACACCTGGATTAAAAATCCGACCAGTGTTTCCTTTTCTGCAAAATTATGATAATGTCTGCATAGGCTTAATGAATTACCTTGTCTGATAAAGAAGGCTTCCCTTTCTGAATTCTCTTTTCCTTAAAACCAGAAATAGAATTATTAATTTTGAGTTGGGGATGGGGGTGGAGCATTTAAAAATAACCAGAGGAATGTTGATGACTCTAATTAATTCAACAGACATGGAAGAATCAAGATCCTTATTATGTACAAGGCATTGTCTATGTTGTACAAAAATTTCTTCCAGAATAAGTTCTTTGCTCATTTTTATTATATCCACTCATAGGGCTTGATAATCTCCTGGTCATAAACAAAATAAAAATCTCCCAGTTGTACATCTTGATGTAATTTTAAGTTATGCAGTTTAATAGTAAGAGTTTTTAGGTATTGATGCTGATGTAATAGAGCTTCAGAGACACAGATGTAACATTGTGAAGTTGCAGGTTAATCTTTTTAGGTCAAGAGATGCACACTGGGCTCAACCATGAGTTAATAGATTTATTGAATTTTCAGGGAAATCCCGAATGAAAATGAAATGCTAGAAGAAGAGCATCAGTGTTTCTATTGAGTAGCAGTGGCTTAGTTTGGAAGCCTCTCACCCCTTAGAGGTTCTTCCCATGTAGCCTGTTACTTGGATCTGGATTTGAAGATAATAAAGGGATAGTGAGTAGGAGCCTAGAGATGACCTGGTGACTCAGTGGTGGCATATGTATTCTAATCTTCTCCTCAGGATTCTTTTCTGTTCTTTCATCAATTTAAGAACCTCTGCACCTAGAGGCTTATGAAGGGAATAAAAGAAAGACAGTAGCCTGAAAAGCCTGGTCTTCTCATAACCACTTCCCACTACTCTTCCCCCCTTCCAAAGGAAAAAAAAGTGATGCTTTCTTCCTTTTGGGATTAAGTTCCTTATTTTACCTACTCAGATTCCCTCCTTTTCTTCTATGCTAATCTTACCCATCTTCCAGGACTTCATGATGTCTTACCAATCCACTTTATTTTCACTCCTGAAATCCCGGACATTATTTTCTATCATGCATTTGGAATATAAGTATGCATTGCCTTGTGAAAGATCTTATATTGTTTCAAACTGTTGTTTATTTCTTGTATTGTTGCTTAACTGGTTGTCTACTTTTTTTTTTCCTTCCCAACTAAATCGTAAATTCCTTGAGGCAGGGACCAGGTTTTAAAAGCTTCTCTATATTCTCTGCTACACTAAAGCATAGTATGTGATGAATAAGTTATTTTATTCTGCAGAAATATTTTAATATTTCCTCATGTTCATATCCTGCTTATAGCAGGATCAGATGTTATATATAGTTAACATTTGATGAATACTTGACTAGTTTAAGGAATTGCCATATCGCTTTTTAGTATTTACTGTTTAAGGAGTTAATATTTTAAGACTGAAGCACAGATGTGTTTAATAACTGAGTTGTTCATATATAATGAAATCTTGCTAATATATTACTTATCTTCACTGTACTGATCAGTAGAAAGAGATTAGCAATTTTGAAAAATCCGTTTTTGGAAGCAGTAGCTTTCATTGCTATCAAATCTAAATTGATTAGTAGTCCAGAGGATAATGAAAGAGGATGTTTAAAGGGTCATGGATAGTTAGCACTTTATAAGACATGTACCTCATAGTTCATGCCTATAGGTGAATCAAAGAAAAGTATGTTTCTTACAAAAAGGCCCTAGGACTGATACCTAAAAGTTATGTAAATTCCATTGCATATTGCTTACCTTTTCAATAAATTAATAAGTGCCTTTTGATGAATTTTGATCATGGAATTTGGGCTTATCATATAATAAACATATAGGTGCAAATAAATTTATTTTATTCAGAGTTTAAATCTGTAAATTAATAACTTTAATTCTGTTTAATTTAGGTTCACTTCATGCTATGTATTATGCCATTGCCTTTACTGAACTCAAAATCTAGGGTAGGGTGATATATGACAGTACAAAATCCAGAACCTCTATTATATTAGTATCGTAACTGGAAACATATAGGGTATTATTTTTAAAAACCAACAAACAAGTATATTTAGGATTTTTATGTTATAATGAAAGATACTTTATATGTTATTTACTAGACAGCACAATTTGACACTGCAAATGATTGCTGATATAGTCAAGTACTTAATGACAGACTTAGTACATTTGTGTTTCACCAGTAATAAATGGATTGATTTTTATCCATCATAATTAGATACTTGCTTTTAATTACGTATTTAATTATGTAGATGAATTTTTGATCAATGTCTATCATTGTTTTCAAAGGAAACACAACCTATTTGTGGGAGTTTCTTTTAGATCTACTTCAAGATAAAAATACTTGTCCCCGGTACATTAAGTGGACTCAGAGAGAAAAAGGCATATTCAAGCTTGTGGATTCAAAGGCTGTCTCTAAGCTTTGGGGAAAGCATAAGAACAAGCCAGACATGAACTATGAGACTATGGGTCGAGCTTTGAGGTAAGAACACAAAAGAATGAGTTTTCAAACAAAACTTATCTCTTTATGTTGTCTGTTAGCTGTTTAAAGAGGAGCTCTAAAAATCCTTTATTATAACTTTTAACTTGGGGGGATATTCTAGGAACTTCTTTGATTTGGAGGTGGATGGGAAGAGATGAGTTTGGTCTAGAGGTCTAAAATTGCAATATCATTGGAGAATCCATTTTTGCAAAAAATGTGCTTTTGCACTTAGGACTATTCCTTAATAGAAATTTAAGTTGTAGACCTTTAAGAAAATTAAACCCAAAGGAAGCACAGTTTCCAAATTGTTAATTTGCTTTTTACTCCTGCGAATTTGTTGTAATGGATTTATCTTGATATGAAAATTTCTCTTTAAGTTTTGTCAGTTTGAGAAACCCACAAAATGTAATGTACATGGTTTGTAATGTATTTGGTTTCTTCTAGGATGTGTATCAATGCATACATAGTTTATGTGACAGTATTCACATATCCCACAGATTCATCTCTACTACGCATGGCGTAGGTGATTTTTCCACATAACATCAGATTGTTTTTATAACGTATGTAAATCAGAGTTGAATTTTTACTCCATAAAATACAGTAAAATATTCTTTATTTAGGTTAAATTACTTCCTTTAAGAAAGAGAATGAACTTTTAGCAACTTTATAGATCTTAAGCTATAAATGACCTATGGCACCAGGTTCCAAGTTCATTCCTACTCCAAATTCTTAGCCTTTTGAACAATCCAGGCAGTAAGAGCTCGTTTTTCATATTTCTTACAGGAATAAGTGAATGTTCTGTTAGTATCCATGCTACATGGTGTTTTTTTTTTTGGTGGAAAAATGTAATACACTTGATTCATTTAGTACTTTTTCCCTTACAGATATTATTACCAAAGGGGTATTCTTGCAAAGGTTGAAGGACAGAGGCTTGTATATCAGTTCAAGGATATGCCCAAAAACATAGTGGTCATAGATGATGACAAAAGTGAAACCTGTAATGAAGATTTAGCAGCAGGTACTGATGAAAAATCATTAGAACGAGTGTCACTGTCTGCAGAAAGTCTCCTGAAAGCAGCAACTTCTGTTCGTGGTGGAAAAAACTCGTCTCTAAACTGCTCCAGAGCAGAGAAGGGTGTAGCTAGAGTTGTGAATATCACTTCCCCTGGTCATGATGCTTCATCCAGGTCTCCTACTACTACCGCATCTGTATCAGCAACAGCAGCTCCAAGGTAAGTGAGGGAAAAAACCATTAGGTGTAATGTATTGACTTTTTAGAAAGCTCCTTGGCAAAAATGATGTTCCTTTTTTAATATTAGCATTCTAAGAAGCCACTGTTGTCAGCACTTTGAAGAGTGCTTGATATTTTAAATGTATTTTGTTGTTATTAAAGTGGATGTCTCATCTAACCTGAATTGGTTTTTATGGTTTCAGAGATGGAACTTAATATGGGCTTTAGTTTTTTTTTTTTTTTTTCTTTTGTGAGGAAGATTAGCCCTGAGCTAACATCCATGCTAATCCTCCTCTTTTTTGCTGAGGAAGACTGGCTCTGCGCTAACATCTATTGCCAGTCTTCCTCCTGTTTTCCCCCAAGCCCCAGTAGATAGTTGCACATCATAGTTGCACATCCTTCTAGTTGCTGTATGTGGGACTCGGCCTCAGCATGGCCGGAGAAGCGGTGCGTTGGTGCGCGCCGGGGATCTGAACCCAGGCCGCCAGTAGCGGAGTGCGCACACTTAACCGCTAAGCCACGGGGCCGGCCCTGGGCTTTAGTTTTTTAAGTATATTTATTTCATGGTATTTTATATTCTAAACTTCAGGGATTGTCAGTATATCTATAAGATTTGGGAGCACTAGTTTTGTACATTTTAGATTTGCATTCATCTTTTTGCTCATGAGACCTATTTTCTAATTTAGTATTAAATATAATCAACTTTTTTTTTATCTACTAGGACAGTTCGTGTGGCAATGCAAGTACCTGTTGTAATGACATCGTTGGGTCAGAAAATTTCAACTGTGGCAGTTCAGTCAGTTAATGCAGGTGCACCATTAATAACCAGCACTAGTCCAACAACAGCAACCTCTCCAAAGGTAGTTATTCAGACAATCCCGACTGTGATGCCAGCTTCTACTGAAAATGGAGACAAAATCACCATGCAGCCTGCCAAAATTATTACCATCCCAGCAACACAACTTGCACAGTGTCAACTGCAGACAAAGTCAAATCTGACTGGATCAGGAAGCATTAACATTGTTGGAACCCCACTGGCTGTGAGAGCACTTACCCCTGTTTCAATAGCCCATGGTACACCTGTAATGAGACTATCAGTGCCTACTCAACAGGCATCTGGCCAGACTCCTCCCCGAGTTATCAGTGCGGTCATAAAAGGGCCAGAGGTTAAATCAGAAGCAGTGGCAAAAAAGCAGGAACATGATGTGAAAACTTTGCAGCTGGTACAAGAAGAAAAAGCGGCAGATGGAAATAAGACAGTGACCCACGTAGTGGTTGTCAGTGCGCCTTCAGCTATTGCCCTTCCTGTGACTATGAAAACAGAAGGACTAGTGACGTGCGAGAAATAAAATAGCAGCTCTACCATGGACTTTAGACTGTTAGTGATAGTACTAACATAAATATTTGCAAGGGATGTCATCAAGAAAAGTCAAAAGAAGACTTTAAAACATTTTTAATGCATATAAGAAAACAATCAAACTTACTGGAAATAAATTACCTATCCCATGTTTCAGTGGGAAATGAACTACATATTGAGATGCTGACAGAAAACTGCCTCTTACAGTAGGAAACAACTGAACCCATCAATAAGAAAAAGGATTGAGAGGGACCAAGCAACTCACTACAATATCAAGTTACACTAAGACTTGGAACACTAACATTCTGTAAGAGGTTATATAGTTTTTGGTGGGGAGGGGTTGGGATGGGTGATCTCATTGTTACATATAGCAATTTTTGATGCATTTTATATGCATACCAGCAATTATTACTGTGTTCACACAGAACTCACTTAACTGGTGCTATGTGGAGACTCTGCTAATATAGGTATTTTAGAATGTGAATTGAAGGATGGATCCAAAAACTTCAGAAAGAGGATAGCAAAAAAGATCTAGTGCGAATTTTTTTTATATATATCATATAGCTTAAGCTGATTTAAAACAAAGGCCTTAGACTAATTTTCGGTTTTCTTTATTGAAATAAGCTAATGGCTTGTTTGTGTAAAGCTTTTTTATTAAAAGAAAAATTTTAAAAATCTTGTACCTAGCACAGTATTGTTATAGAATTTACATGTAACATTTTATATGGTAGTTTAAGTCTGTCAGTTTCTTAATTGTGGACAAATTAACAGTTGGCTCTGGCCTTTTGCTGTAACATGCCTGTGTCACTCACTTAGCCCTGGCATCTGTGCAGACATATCAGTTTCAGTTCTACCGTCACTTGGAAGTTAAGGCTCAGCATGAATTTTTGTCAGGTAGCTCTAATACCTGGAGTTTTCTTTCTTTTTTTTGTTTTAGTTGAAGTTTAAGAGGGAAAGTACCAGTGTTCAGATTTGAACTATAATAGTTTGTATATTCAACATTTGAAGTATATTCTATTTTGTTGTACTCTTGTTTCAAAGTGTATTCAAGTAGGTTTTCTGAAATATAGAAATGAAATTTATCTTGTGTTTTGGTCTCTGGTGATATTTATAACAATATTCAAAAGCTAGTATAGAGACATTGTTTTAGTTAAGTAATAGAAGTCCTACTTCTCCTTCCCTACTACTGCGTGAAGAAATTCTACTTATTTTGTTCCATTACATTAATATTTGGCAAATACCTGCATGTTGCCACTTCCTTTCTAATTACTATCAGGAACTATAATGTTCTACTTTCATACCATAATGAGTTTACCATTTTAATGTTGGCCACACTTAAAGAATTTATATTTCAAATCAGACCATTTGTTTCTTGGTTAGACCTTTTGAAGGTTAGGAAGAACAATGTTTTTACAAATTTGGAAGTGGAGGTCCCAGAGGGATTACATGAATTTCCAAATTTCACACCAAACTAGGTCCTGTGATTCCACATCTTAATGCTCTTTCTACTACAAAGCAAAGTTGTCTATTTTTACATCTTTTAGAAATTTAAATAAACTGATACTTAATATTTTGTGGCCTTTAATTGTGCATTTGATCAGATACTACTTAGGTCGACAAATCTGTATAAGAGCTCCCTGCGTAATCTTTTATCTTTTCCATAAACATACCTGATGGTACTTTATAATAAAAGTTCAAAGAAAAACTCACTTGATTGTTAGCCCATTTGGGAGTTAAACTCAAATTCTGCCTCCTTTTAAAACATTTCCTAAATATTTCAGCTTTCGAAATCTGGACTGTATGCTTTGGCACCGCAGTTTCATTTGTCGAGTCCTGTAATAACTCTTTTAGAGCAAAGATGATAGCTTATACCATAACTATACCCCTCCCCAAGTGCTGAGCATATTTGACACTCAGACCTTTATTGATTTTGATAACATGTTTCCTGAGAATCTACGTCTTGTCCTATGGAGGAGAGCTAAAGAAACAAATTTTAAGTGAGTAATTCTTTCCCCCCATGCTATATTATTAATTCTAATTAGGTTAAGCCAAGGCTACCTAGCTTACCTCCACCACTCTACCAGAATATTTTTCTGTCTCCTTCAGAATAAGTACGCCTAAGGTCTAGATTTGGGAACATACATGTTGACTTATATGCTGATCAGAGTGTTTCTGCTGATATGAAATTATCAGTGGTATGGCTTTTAATCTCAACCCTTATAAACTATAAATCATTATAACTTATATTTGCTTTTTGTGTCCAGCATATTAGAGAAGAACCATGTAACAATGGCTTGATGCACTACATTTTTCAGCCTCACCAGGCTTTTGAACATGATCTGTCCATTTATTCCTTAGGTCATCTTTCAGCAACAGTTCCAGCCTTCACCACCTTGCTTACCAAATGACCACTATACCTCTTACAGAGAACATGGAGGTCATGAGTGTGAGTGAACTCCCTCCGTTTCTGGACCCCTTGCTATAAGACCATCTACTTATTCCCAAGCATCCACCTTACCGCCTGTCTCAGAAAGGAGGCAGGTATGCCTTCCTCCTGTACTCAGCATCTCCTCCCGTTTCACACCTCTTTGATTTCCTCATTCCAACAGTTAACAGCTCATCGTTCTGTCTCTTCAGTAGCTTGCAGCCTGAATTCTGGCTTAGAAACAGTTCTTACTGAGGTCTCTAATAAGTAAATGTCAAATCAAACAGACACTTCATTTTTTCATGTGATCTTGTGCCTCAGCCTACCTCTTAAAATTCTCCTTTGGTTTTCCATGATACCCTTCTTCTGGTTTACTTCCTGCCTGACCAACTCTTCTTAGCCTACTTTGCATTCCCATTTAGTGTTAGTGCCTAACCAAAATTCTGTCTCTGGGGCTCTTTCCCTCAGAGACTAGTTGTAAGAATTAAATGAGTTAATATGTTAGGGATTTAGAACCAGTGCCTGGCATATAGCAAGCACTCTATTAAATGTTTACTATTATGATTTCACTTCAACATAACTGTTTGATAATCTCTTCTGTGCATGTGGTTTCTCCTACCAAATCTATTGTTCTAGCCTAGACTTTTAAGTCTTAAATGGGTTTATCTGATTGCCTACTGGCTGTTTCCTTCTGAATGACCAAGTGAAATCTTGTCCATCTAGAATCTGTTCCTTTTAGCTCAACAAATGACATTACCAGCAAGCCATTACTCATACCAGAAGAAACCTGAGGGCCATTCTAGACCCCTTACTTCTTACATCAGTCATTCACCAAGTCCTATTGATGGTGCCTTCTAAATAGCTTCCTTTCCCATCCTCCCTACCCTTTATTACTGCTTTGTTTTATCAAGCCTCCCTCTAGTCCATTTTCTGTGCTTCCAGCTGAGAGCTTTCTGAAATGCCAATTTCATTACTCCCTCACAATTGCTTTCAATTCTTCAATGGCATCTCTTGCTAAAAAGATGAGAGTCCAAAGCATAACACTTCAAGTCCTCTGCCCATCTCCCACGCTTTATTCTCTTGTCACTCCTTTTAGGCTTTTGTGGGCTACAGACATTGACATATCTCATTTTCTCAGATATTCCAGGCACCTACACCTCACTGAGCCATTCCATCGATGGCTTCTCTCTGGACCACTCTCTTCCTTCACCTACATTTGAGTTCACTTTTATTTACTGAATTAGAGGTGACAGACAGCAAAATAAAAATTTCTGAAAGAGGCTTGAAAACCACTCGGTGGGGAGTGGTCTACTCTGAGTGAACTCTAAGTATAAAGACTGAAAAGCATGAAGTATATAAAGATAAGGGTTAGTGGAGAGGAAAGGAATCAGCAATGGAAATCAAGGACTGTTTATAGAGAATTAATGAACAGGACAGATGAGATAACATTTCAAGATATGGTGGGCAACAGTATCAAGTGCAGCAGGAAGGGCGAAGCAAATAAGGCCAAAGAAAAAGCCACTGAGATTATTGATATAGTGACAATAAAAGGGCAGTTCCAGTAGGCGATGCCCATGAAGCCAGAACGTTAAGGGGTGGGGCACTTGGTACATTACCTGTGGCTTGCCTCTGACTCCTTGCCTACGTCACTCAGGAGAGTGCATCTTTGATCACTATATAAACAAGTCATTTAATTATAAATAATCAGAGAAACTTCTTTCCAAAGAGAAAATTTTGGCTTTGGGGTTATTTACAAAGCATATTATGATCCTTTTACTTTTAAGTCTCCTGGCCTACTTTACGAGGGCACTACAGTGCACATTATTTTTGGGAGGCAAAAGTAACCCTACTTTTAGTTCCACCGCCATCACAGCAACTTTTCCTTTTATTACAGCTTTTAACCATTCACAGTACAAGTCCTCTGTGGTGATTGATCTGTACTTAGTGCCTTTGTTATAATCATTGTCCTCCATAATTAAAACCTGTTACGTTCTGTAGGTACTCACTGCACAGTGATGCCAGTCCTAATGAGAATGAGAAGGTACTGTTCACCCTTGGCAAGTGCAGTGATTTGCTTCCTCTCATCACAACTCCAAAGCTTTAAAAAACTCAAGTGCAGCAGGGAGATTTATTTGATGTGTATCTACTTCATGTTTAAGCACCCGTAACTACCAATATTTTTCAACACTGCAACTCAGCAGTAATGCTGTGAGTTCAGCATAAAAACAATGTATCACAACTTCCAAAGTGAGAACTTAACAAACATGATTGTTTAATGCAAAATACTCCATATCAAAAACAAAATAAAACTGAACTATAAATAGGCTGTAAACAGCAGAGTTGTCTTCTCCCAAGATACTGTTTCCTCTCATCCCATTGTAGTATGTTTAACTTTGAGAAAATGTTGCCTATTTTAGAAGACTTTCTTTAATGAAGTGATACTATCACTGTCATAAAGGGTGAAATACTAAACCATTTTACATAATCTGCCAATTATATCTGAGTTGAGGACATTAGTTCACTAACACAGTGGTAAACTTTGCTGCACATTAGAATCACCTGGAAAGATTCAAAAATCCTGTTGCCCAGGTCACACTCCATACCAATTAAATTATCATGTATGGGAGAGGGAGCCAGGCATCAGTAGTTTTTAAGTATCTCTAGGTGATTTCATTGTGCAGCCAAGTTTGGGAACCACTGCCCAATGTATAGCTAGATATACTGTATAGATACAGTAAGGAAAGCTTTACATTTAGGGATGTGTCCTAACCTAAGCTTTTCGAAAATGTCCAATGGAAAAAGGTAGTTTGAGATATAGCTATTAAGTATTACAAATGGCTTTTAAAAAACTTACATACTGTATAAAATTTCATTGATTCTAAAGCCTTTTTCTCACATTTAACATCTCTTTAATTAGGATGAGTCTTTAGAGTCTTATATACACCATGTTAATGTGCCTTGTCCCTTACATTATTTTGGAAAGCTATATACTAATGCCAACAATGCTACCATTGTTCAAAAACACTTTTGAATTGCTTCTTGGAGCAGAACCTAAAATTTTAAAAACTATTTAATGGAGACAAGTTTCCTGCTGAGGAAGATTTTAGTTTTAGAAATAGCCAAGTCACTTGAGGTTAATAAATTGATGTGAATCAAGCTAATGCCACATTTGGTTCAAAATGAGATGTGGCTATAAAGTTCACACTACTTTTGAGACCTTCATAGAACTGGATACGGAAGCTGTTCCAGAAAGTTTCAAAAATGTTTTTGAGCAGTGGCAGCAGTAACTCAAATTGTTTTGAAGTGCAAATCAGAATTTTAATGCTTTAAGAAAGCTTAGAGATTTTCTGGTCTAGTCCCTGTATTACAAATAAAGAAACTGAGGTTCAGGAAAACTCTGACTCATCAGTTTACTTCAGCTAGTCAATGGCAGACCTAGAAACAGAACCACTCCTCTGGCTCCCAGTTTAATTTTAGCGTCAACCTCCATTCCCTCCCCCCCAAAAAAAAAAAAGACGGGGGGTAAGTTTCTGAACATAGTTTCTGAATAAGCCTATCTTATCATGTAGTGATCCTTACTTTCTCACAAACTAAATTTTAAAGTGTCACAGAATTTTGCTGTATGTTCTCTTCAGGTTTACCAGTCTATGGAAACCAAAATCAAATGTCAAATGTATTCCCTATAAATACAATTTACAATAAAAAACATCTTACAAATCTATGGGGTTGACAGGGCAGGTATGATGCTATACTCTGTGGATGAGAAAACTGAAGCCCTAGAGAGTGGCTCATTCAAGGCCACACTGGTCACAGCTAAGTCTCTTCACTTAGAGCCTGTGCCCTTCTACATGGTGCTTTTTTTTCTCCCCTTGTTTTATAAGCCCAAGCTCCAGGCCTCTGCCATTCTGGTATCCATCCACTCTAGATAAATGCCTGCCCGTGCCATATTTTTATACATGTCATTAAAAAAAGAATTCATCAAAGCTCCTTATGCAAGCACATTCATTTTTTGGATGCCTTTCCTTTTCTCAAATTGAGATCAATTATGATTATGAGCATGTGTTTTTTTATCTTCTTAGAATTTAAATCTTAGAAATCTTTCCTCAAGTCTAAGACACATCTAATTATATGCAACACTCCCCTCATTATTATAAAATCTTGGATGTTTTTAAAAATGGCTCCAATACAGAATATTTGCATCAGTTTCTTCCTTTAGTTAGAAACACCTCTAGAGTAGCTGTTCCTATTGCTTCCTGTAAAAAAAGGTACCATCAAAGTATGCAAACAGTGTGATGTTCCATATTTGGCAGAACTACTTGACTGTGTCAGAATAACTGAAATCCGCTCTGTCAGCCACCAGATCTCGCTTCTATTCTATATTATATGTGTACTACAAAAGTATCTGACCAGTTTTCATTTCACAAATCTCTTCCTCCCCCACAATATTACTTTTCTCCCCACTGGTACTCACTCAAGGCCACGAGAACATGGTAGTGGAGAGAGGTGAGCACTTCGGAGTCAACACAGACCTGAGTCCTGGCTCTGCTACTATTTGCTGTCACTTTGGTCAAATTATTTGACCTTTTGAGCCCCATTTTAAATTAGGAGTAGTTGTAAGATCACATGTAAAGCTCTTAGAGCCAACGATAAGGAATTCAAACGTTAGTTTCTTCCTATGTATACACCATTATTTATTTAAACAAATGAGGTGGTCATTCCTACCACCTTGTAGAGTTGAATCTACTGAAATATGGCATAGAGGAAGAAGAAAATGCATGGCCACTCTTTCTCTCTTCAAATCTGCACAACTGACCTTCTCTTTTAAGACTCTTATTATAACCCCAATCAGAATATTATGGGATATAAAAGGAAAAGCTGAACCAAAAGGTACATAGGGATGGAGTAAGAGAAACTCTTAATTAATGGAACGTACTTAAAAATTTAGAATACAGACTTGTTATTTACCATTATGCCTTCGGGTTACTGACAATCCCTAAGGCAAAGCTGTCTACAAAGAGAGACTTAAGGGGAAGTAAAAATAAAATAGGAAGTGCAATACAACAAGCTTTATATACTCCTAAAAATTGTTTACATAGAATGCTCACATAATTACATGTTAAATGAAGACAAATACAAAAACACCAGACGACAAAAGCATACTGAAGTAAGTGTTTAGCCTACTGTTGCGATAACACCAAAGGATAACTCATAAGCAGAGTTCCATTGTGGATTTTGCCCCATCTCCTTAATTCATAGGCACATTTCAATCACATGTTGGTATTTCGAGAAGTATTTTTGCTCAGTGGCATTCCCACCCACTCCCAGCCCCACCCTCAACCCATAGCCTGTTAATTCATATACTGAACAACTGAAATTCAAACATTGTTTTGGGGCCGGCCCCGTGGCTTAGCAGTTAAGTGCGCGCGCTCCGCTGCTGGCGGCCCGGGTTCGGATCCCGGGCACGCACCGACGCACCGCTTCTCCGGCCACGCTGAGGCCGCGTCCCACATACAGCAACTAGAAGGATGTGCAGCTATGACATACAACTATCTACTGGGGCTTTGGGGGAAAAAAAAATAAATAAAATTACAAACATTGTTTTGGCTTTCATTCTCATCCAGATTTGCTTGCTTAATTAAGGCTGTCATAATTTCTCTTCAGGTTGGTGTACTTTGGGGAAGGTAAACAATATTTAATGCCTGTTCTAATAAGTATTCTAATCAATGTTCTGCTTCTCAACAACAGAGGATTACCACTAGTCACGCCAAGATTTGAATGAAATGGCAGTTGGTACAGATGTTCTTCCTGCTTGCTATTCCTTCCAGGCGGCCCCAAGATTTTGTGTACACAATGTGTTGAAAACCTCATTTGTTTCAAAAGTGGTTCCAATGCAGAATATCTGGGTGAACCGTACTGTGGAACTCCAACCTCAGTGCTGAGATACCATGTAAGCATAGCATAGGTGCCTTCACTGTGCAGCTACGGATCCTCCTTTGTCCACCTTAAAAATGAAGGTCTGTGTGTAAATGGATAGTGTGGGCCACCACATTAGCAGTGTTGAAAGATCAAATCTACTCCCCGATTCTTTTTGGACTAAAAAGACGAGAAAATAACAGCACTAGCTTTAAGACCATTTATTAATCTTAAATATTTACAACTCATGGATTAAAACATTTATTAATTTATTACCAATAGGTTATTTGCTGAGATTTTGTTTGGAAAGGGCTTCACCCATTATAACACGTTTATTTCTGATGGAAGAGAATTCCAGGTTACTTTCTAACTTTTTATATTCTTCTTTCTAGACATTTTGAATCAGTCACCTGGCTATCTTAGGAAATTTCAATGACAGCCTCATTAACAGGCTTTCTAGTTTCCCACCTCTGAAAAGGTCCCACTGACTTCCTTAGCCACTGCCACATAACAGCTCCTAAATAACCTATTGTGAAAAGCACATTCTAATACAATAATGACACTGAGTGACCTCAAGTATATAACAATAGCATTCCAATGGAAAACTATAAATGTGTAACAGTGATTAAATAATGAAGACTGACCGGCCATGGAATCTCTTCAAGAAACACAATAATGGGGAACAGGAAGGCACAGCAAGGATTATTTATGAAGAACGTATCCAGGAGACCTGATGTTATTTCACTTAACAAACAAACTAAAATTCCTCCAGGCTAAATAGTTCCTTTGTACACTACTATTTTGTTAAGACCCTAAATAAAAACATCTTAAAACTTTAAGAAAATTACTATAAATTACTCTATAACTTACATTTTGCATGGTTTTGAAATGTTCATAGTGCTACATTTACTTAATATTACATGGAGATATAAAAAATAAATATTCCCATGCATGTCTTGTTGACATTTAAAAAACCCACAAATAAATAACTTGAAATGCTGTCTAGAGAAATTGCTCTTGCATACTTATTGTTAATTATGGAGGACTCAAGCAAGTCTACTTTTAGATAGCATCCTCAAACTGAAAAAGCTTCAAAACAAGCCTAATTTAATGCTCTTACATGATTAAAATGTAATGCTAAGGGAAAGAAAACAACACAGGCCAATACTGGAGTGCAAACAGCTTTCTCGCTGTAGATTTTAATGGAAAAGGTTTGTGAACTAAGGGGATTCCTTCCCAAGGGCATGCTGGAAACAAGGAAAGTGAAGTGAGAGAAACTAGGAATCCTTCTTCAGGCAACTTATCCTATTTCAGTTTCCTGAAACATCCCTGGTTAAGACTCTTGTGACTAAAAAGACACAGACAAGTGTTTATAAAAGTCCATCAGGTTCCTCATTAAAGCTGAAGTCACATACTAGAGACAGGTGGTCTGAAGGATAATTGAAGGATGGTAGCCGGTTGGGTCCAATCTGTTCTTCAGTGAGCAAATCAAGAGCTGACTTCACACTCAGAGCATGTTTAGAATACCAGATATAATCCAGGGTGTGCCGGCACTCCCCTGAGGTCCGGATCTTCCAAGTAGTATATGGAGGTTCTGACTGTCCATCAGCACTCAGCAGCTTGTAGGCGCTATTCAGATTGAGGCTGGAGGAAGCAAAGTGTTTGTAGACCTCCTCTGTTGGCTCTGCATTGAAGTCCCCACAAACAATAAGGGGAATCTTGGCTCCTTGAGTGATGTTCTGCAGGTTCTGGAGAAGGTCACAGCCTTGAGCTGATCGAAATCGCTCCCAGCCAGTACGTGCTTTTAAGTGGGTGACAGCAATGCAGAACTGTCGACCGGACTCCTTGCACTCTAGGGTCTGTGCAATGGCCACCTGATTGGTTTTCAATGTCATGGCCGTCAGCCTAATATTGGCACTGTTGACTAGCTTGAATCGGTTCTGGAGAAAAAACAAGGCACAACCGTCTGGTCCATTGTTGTGTTCTACATCTAGACAAGGTGACCAGGGCTTGGGGAAGAACGTGCCTTGATAGCCCAGTCTACTGAGGAGTGGTTGGAAGGTGTCAAAATAGTGGTCCACCTCTTGGAGGCACAATATATCGGGCTGGTAGGCTAGGATTTCTTCTAGGATGAGACATTTCCTTTCTTCCCACTTGAGTGCTTCAACAGGGCACTGTACAAAGTTGTCTTTGCCTTCTCCAAGAGCTGAAATAAAAAAGCCAGTCAGTTGTCAGCTACCACAGAACCATGACTTCTAAGTACCTGGGAGTCTCCTTAGGCTTGACACTTACTCAAGACTCTCAGAATGCTTCCTCTGCTTCAGATGCTTTGAGTGATTCTTCTCTGTCTAAACTGCATTAACTCACCAAATTAACCTCTCACATACATGAAGCAGGCAATTGATTTTCTTTCATATTAAAACTATTTCCTATATTCTAGGACATAAGATCTTAGGTTTTAGCCTTAAACAGTGCTCTTTGCAGTCCCAGGGATCTAAACTGTGTCAGATAAAATAAATATATTTAATTCTATATACTAATTTCAACACTAACTATAAGCCATATGAACTGATATAGATACCACTCAAAATGAACAGGACCTATTTTAAAAGGGCAGCTTTTCCTACTTATGGATGAACACCTGGAAAAAATAAATGAATCAAAGATTGCAAAGTCAGGGAGTATGCCCTTCTTTTCTAGCAAAAAAAAATGGGGGGGGAGGGGGGTTGGCCTGGTGGCGCAAGCCGTTAAGTGTGCGTGCTCCGCTGCGGCGGCCTGGGGTTTGGGTCCCGGGCGCGCACCGACGCACCGCTCATCAAGCCATGCTGTGGCGGCGTCCCATGTAAAGTGGAGGAAGATGGGCACGGATGTTAGCCCAGGGCCAGTCTTCCTCAGCAAAAAGAGGAGGATTGGCAGATGTTAGCTCAGGGCTGATGTTCCTCACCAAAAAAAAAAAAAAAGCAGCCTTTGTTTCTTAAAATTTTAATTGCTACATGAGAGGCAATACTATAGCAAGTTGACTGGCACATCTGTTTTTTAATTCAGCAGACCCCAGAAAGGAGTCCTTCCTACCATAACAAAGTAATAGAAAGAGAACTGAAGCAACATCTCTTCGGCCTCAAGTTGCACAGATGTGTATGGATGAGAATCTGGCCCCAAGAGTACCCAGACTCACAACCACCCTCACACAGCTCCTATTCCCTGCAGAAAGTTCTATATGTTGCCCATTCAGTAGACTCAGTTTCTCCCTTGCAAATGCTTTTTTAGTGCTATGGACTGAAAGCTGGAGACAACAAAAAGTTTCAGGCTGATAGAAGACAGGGTCCTTTAAATTTGGATGTGCTGGCAAGTAGACAGACTTTCATTGTACTTGGATAGCCTACAAACATGGAAGGTAAGAAATAAACCTTGAGTTGCCAGATTTATTAGTGAAAACCTGATGACTCCCTTTCCTAACCTCCCCTTCTGGGAGCTCCTCATGTTGCCCTAGTCACCCATCCTCCTACACCTGCATCTGCCCACACCTCTTCCCTCCACATAAGACATCAGTGCATTGAGCACGTGCAGAAGCAGAAAGGCAGTCATAGCGAACTCAACTGCTCAGGCACAAAAGCATCAGGCATACCTTGGGCGAGGATGTTCCACTGCATGACCCTAATAGGTGGGTGGCTACTGGGGCAATCTGTCCTCAGATCCACAAAATCCCTCTGGAACCGGGGAGGTCGAGTGTGCAGGACAGCCCTGCATTCCTCAAGGAGCTCTTTAGGATCAATGGGCTCCAGATGTTCTGGGTCAGGTGACACCAAATACTCTGGGTGCTGGGAGGCAGCGCTGCTGTTCAGTGTCTTGGCGAGAGCACTATAGAGTCTGCTCGTACCGTTTCCCATGGAACACGCTACAGGAAAGGAAAGCACAATTACACACACAGCTGCTTCTCCTGCCTTTCTTCTCAACTCAACTAGAAGATAAAGCATTTACTGTCCATAGAAGCCAAGAGCTCAATTTAGGGCAACGTTGCCATGTTCATGTAAAAAGCCATTTCCCCAGAGGTGGATTAAAGGAGTTTCCAGGTTTTAACTTTCCACTAGGACAGGTAATTGAAATACTCTTAAAATTGGTCTCTGATTAACTAAGATAATTACTTCTTTTAAGAGAGAAATACCTTGATCTTTATGACCTCTTCTAACCTAGGATTTGTCTTTGTAATTTATAAACCCAGTCTTATGAAAGCATGGCTAAACAAAACCCACATTCCTTTTCTGTATATTTTAATAAGAAGTTGAAGACCAGTTGGTAACGAGCCAGACGTTAGAAAGCCCTTGTTAATCCTGGAGAAGAGATTAGGTTGTAGCAGGCTGCTGCTCTAGCCATGTCATCTATACAGATCCCTCTGGACTGAAAAGAAATGGCTGGATTAAATCCATATCCCAATTCTCTTAGATGTTAACTGTAAATCAGGGCTCTGGCTCTCTGTAGAACTCTGAAGATCACTGAGCAATACAGTCTATAATATCAAATGCCAGATCTTTTAAAAATAAGAAGACGGGTTTAGGGGGGAGAAGAGGCAGTTGCCCCCATTTCCTGGGATCCTGGAAGGAGAAAGGGTGAGGAGAAGTGCAGGAGGCACACTGTCCTCAGTGCATTTTCTAGTGCTCCACTTTGTATCCTAATAGATTATAATCCACTAAGGAGAACAGAGCACAATCTTCAACTAGCATGAGGACAGTCATAACTGTCACTTCACCTGTAAGCAGTGGATTGCTCTTTTAGAGGTCAACCATGTTTTCTCTTCATTATAGTATAAATTAGGGGCAAGTTTTACTTGGAACAACTTCCAAGAATCTGTACATGATGAATCTTGGAATGGAGGAATCTAGACTTCCCTCCCATATCCATATCCTTGCCTTCTCTTGAAAGACACAAAGTTTTCTTTATAAAATACATTCTCAGGCTAATGGCATTTGAAACTAGCAGTCAATCAAATTCACTGTGGCTGTCACAAAAGCAAATTCAAATATTTAGCACCAAAGTCCTTAAACATGAATGTCAATAAGCATGCAAGCATGCTCTCTATCATTCCTTTTCATCAACTCAAAGTAGTTTTTTTTCCCCCAGTAAGAAAACTAGATTAACGCAAAAAAACACATACTGGTTTTCCCGATATACATTAAAGCATACGTGCATCTGCAAGCCTGTTCTTTCTCACACACGCACATGCACAAACACACACACACACACCTGTTTCCAAACTGTTTGATGTGAATGTATTAAATTCTTTTTAATCAATCTGCTTGCCTATTTGAGTACATGGATCCAAAGGAAGAAATTTTCTTCTTGGCTGGAAGTACAACTTTGAAAATCTTTCTTAGGAATTCCTAGTTTTAAAAAAAAGCAGTTAAAGGTCCTACTCGTTTCTCAAGTGTGGTCTCCAGATCAATAGCATCAGTATCACCCAAACTGTGGACCCAAGTGTCAGAGGGCACCCCAGCAAACCCACAGGGACACCACAAGGCACTTTAATTGGAAGCAAACAGCAATATTTGACATCTGTCAGGCTCTAGGCAAACTACTAGCTTGACGTAGTTCAGTTTCAAGAGGATTGCTCTACATCCTTTTGATGACATCATATCTTTGCCAAGCTGAGTTTTGGGGTGGTTACGGTGATACAACGCAAGTACCATGTCAAAGTGAATGTGAAAAAGCAGGAAAAGTGTCCAATAGGAGTCCACGGTTTGAGGAGTTATGTGAAGCCAGAAAAACTATCCTGAACCACACTTCCTTCTAAAAATTTAGAACACCTTCATATAAAGAGAATAAGGAACAGAATAACATCCATTCAGACAATGAAAGCATGCCCGAAAGCATGCCCAGAAAGTAAATCAAAACTGTACCCTATTGTAAAATGAGCTGACAGTCATTAAGAAAATGATATAATAGCTTAAATCAGAAAACATAGCGGGCCGGCCCCGTGGCTTAGCGGTTGCGTGCACGCGCTCCGCTGCTGGCGGCTCGGGTTCGGATCCTGGGTGCGCAC